GAGGGACTGGGTGGGGATGAGCGCTGATGTGAGGACACTGGACACTTGGGAGCAGAACTCTCAAAGCTCACAATATCCCTCGTTGTCTCGGGGTTCAGGGGTGCCTCTGGGTTTGAGTCCTGCCTCCACTACCCACTGAGTGTGACTTTGGGCCTTTATTTCCTATAAAAAGTAGACAGTTACTTAGGACTGGCCTAGGTCAGGGCAGCTCTGGCCACGGTGGGAGGTTGGGGAGCGATGGAGGGGCCAGAGGTCCTGGCCAGGCAGGGCGGCTGTGGCCAGTGTGGGCCCCCCGGCCCGGGAGGCCACGGGTCTTTGTCTTCTTACGCCCTCGCCAGTCACAGGCGCAGGAGGACCGAAACTGACGTCTGTCCAGGGGGAGGAGGCGGGAGGTGCGGAGCTGCCCTGAGCCCGTATGTGTAAGCCCAGCTCAGGCGTCAGTCCTGGGCGCTGACCCTCCCCAGCTGCTCCCCTTCATGGGAGTCACTTAGGAGGAGGCCGCAGGGGGTTCCACGGGCTCATAGATCTGTCCCCTCCCCAGCCTGCCTGCCCCACCTCCTCTCAGACCCGCCTCCTGCCCGCCTGGTCCTCGCCCGTGTGTGGCGCTGGGTGGGCCTCCTCTGCCAGCTGTCCAAGGCGGGCAACAGGTGGTCTGGGCAGGGGCCACCGGGTGGGCCAGCTGAGCTACACCAGCCAGCTTCCCGGTCCGTGACTCTGGTCCCCACGGGGGCCTGGGCGGCAGACTGGCGGAGGGAAACCCCAGGGCTTGCCGGCTCTTGGTTCTCAGCCTTCCTAATGCCACGACCCTTTAGTACAGCTCCCCGTGTTGTGGTGACCCCCAACCATACAGTTATATTCTTTGCTACCTCATAACTGGAATTTAAATGTCTGTGTTTCCCGATGGTCTTAGGCGACCCTGCTAGCGGTTCTCAACGTGTCATGACCCCCAGGCTGAGAACCGCCGCTGTGGAGCCTAAGACCATCAGAAAACACAGATGTTTACATTAACGACTCATAACAGGACAGTTATGAAGTAGCAACAGAAATCATTGTATGGTCGGGGGTCGCCACAACACGGGGAGCTGTGTTAAAGGGCCGCGGCGTCAGGAAGGTGGAGAACCGCTGGTCTAACTCTGTGTTGAGGGTTCTGAGCCCCTAAACGGTGTCTAGCCCGCTAAGCGCCCAGCCTGTCTTGTCTCCCGGCGGAGAGTGCAGTGTCCATCACGGTGTTTGCCGGGGAACATCGGGTGCTTTCAGGCTTAGGGAGGCCCTTTAACCAGCCATCGCCAACCGGTGGTCTGTGCAGTCCGAAAGGCTGGCGGCTGCTGTTTGACCACCTCCCACCCCATCCCCCCTGTGACCCTGAACTTCCACTCATCTGCTGGGCCGTGCTGGGCGCTGGGCTGTGACAGCGGACAGGCCAGAACCCGGGCTCCCCCCCTGCGGGGTTGGGTGGGAGGGCAGCAGGCAGGGCTGTCACAAAGCCCCGGGGCCCTGGGGCACCGAGCTCAGACCTGAGGAGGCCAGGCCCCGCCGCCAGGGCCTCCTTACCGGAGCCTCAGAGGGAATGGTCACACCTCGGGGCCCAGTGGGAGCACGGCGCAGCCTTCCCTTCCCTTCCTGGCTCCGTCTCCAGCTGGTCCCTCCAGCCACGTACACAGGGCTGGCTCCCAGGGCCCTGACTGCCAGCTTCCTGGGCAGACAGACCACTGGGGCGTTAGACCTCTGCCCTCCTTGCCGTGCCTGAGAACGTGGGGTCCAGGAAGAGTTCCTCTGGCCCAGCACGCCAGGCCCTCGGCTCCCCTTTTGCAGGAACGCCATGTTTGTGCTGAGAAGACCAGGGTCCCAGAATGAAGGGCACCCATCTGGGATGCTGCTCTGGACCCTCGGAGGTGACCACTGTGCTCCCAGGCATCTGGACCCCCTGCACCTCCCAACAAGTCCCCCCTCGCCCCCTTCCCCCAACTTTAAGCTTCCTCTCTCTGTCCCCAGAAATCTCTGAGGCGCCTCTGCGGCCTGACCAGACCCTAGGGAACCACGCAAGCCCCAGGGTCCTGTTTCTCTTAGGAGCTGGAGGTGGGATGGGGTTAGGCGGGGACCAGAGCAGGAGAAAGGGGGCCAAGGGTTACCTAAAGCTCACTCGGACATACTCAGAAGATGGATAGATATGGATGGGTGGGTGGGTAGATGGATGGATGGGTGGATATGAATTGATAGTTGGAGGGGGTCGGTAGAAGGAAGGAATGAGGGATGGATAGATGGATGGATGGGTGGATGGGAGGATGGAGGTTGGGGTGGGTAGAAGGAAGGAATGAGGGTGGATGGATGGGTAGATGGATGGATGGATGGATGGATGGATGGGTAGGTGGATGGATGGATGGGTGGATGGATGGATGGGTGGATGGATGGATGAATGGATAGGTGGATGGATGGGTGGATGGAGGTTGGAGTAGATAGAAGGAAGGAGTGAGGGGATGGATGATGGTGGACAGCTGGAGTGACAAGAAGGATGGAAGGAAGCTTGGGTGACAGTGGCTACAGGCCAGGTGGCTTGGGGAGTGGAGCATGCGTACCCCGAATTGCCTCCCGGAAGAGATGTGTGGTCTAATCTGCTCCATGCAGTGACTCCCCAGTTGTCCTGGGAGCACAGGCTAGTTCTGTTCTCAGGTCAGCAGACAAGGAGTGTCCCCTGGACCTGCCTCCGTGCAGTCCGTTCGCTCTGATGCACCTCTGGCCACAGAGCCACTGATGGAGCCCCCGCCCAGCCCTTCCCGGTGTCGGGAAAAATGTATTTCTTTAAAACAAAGTGGCCGGACACCGGGGGCTTTGGAGCGGGGCTCTCCCAGAGGTGTGTAAGCGGTTGAGAACCCACTTTTTATTTTATTTTATTTCTAAAACTAGTTCATACGTTTTAAAAACTCAATAAAAAATAAGTAAAATCCATTCTATAAAAAAAATAAATAAAATCCACACTTGTTTGTGCCCCTTCCCCCTGAAGGGAAAGTTCTGAGATTTCAAGGTGAACCGTGGATGAAGTGTAACTCCCAACGACTGATGGTCGGTGGGACTTCGCTATCCTGTGTTTCCAAGTGCAGAATCCTGGGGCCTTGGTCCGGCCCGTCGGCGCTCCGTCTGTGTCCCCCTCCACAATGTGTGCCCCCACACAGCCCGTCTGTCCCCGTCCGTCCGCCCGTCGCTGGGAGAGTGAGACAGTGTGGATTTGGACATGGAATGTGTTCTTTGTGCTGGTTTCACACGTTGGGGTTTATTCTGAAGGGGGCATTTCATCGATAATTTTAAGAAGCAAGAGAAGAAACACACATAGAAACCATCAGACGAATCCCCAGGAGTCTTCACCTCTTCCTCTCTCCGATGGTCTCCAGCGCCCGCCTTCCCTCCCTCTGCGCTGAGCTGAGTCTTCCTTGGGGTCCAGTCCGTTCCCCCCGTCCACCCCTCCCCCCCCCCCGCCCTTGACCCTTTTGCCAACAGGGGCCTGCCTCTCTGGGCCCAAGGGCAGGCCGCGAGGTGTGTCCTTCTCGCTTAGGTCAAGGTTGAGAGACAGCCAGGCTTCTCTGCTGAGCCTTTATGGCCGCTGTTCCTCGGTTTGTCCAACCCCTTTAAGAATCCATCTTCTGGCTGAAACCGGTTTGGCTCAGTGGATAGAGCGTTGGCCTGCGGACTGAAAGGTCCCAGGTTCGATTCCGGTCAAGGGCATGTACCTTGGCTGCGGGCACATCCCCAGTGGGGGGTGTGCAAGAGGCAGCTGATGGATGTTTCTCTCTCATCGATGTTTCTAACTCTCTATCCCTCTCTCCTCCTCTCTGTAAAAAATAATCAATAAAATATATTTTTTAAAAAAAGGAATCCATCTTCTGGTCCTGCCAGGGTCCCCTCCCGGCGTGATGAGCCCCGAGTTTATGAACTGGGGCGGGGGGTGGGGGGTGGGGGGGGGAGCGCGTTTCCTTCTCAGCGGGAGCCTGGCCGCCTCTGCGCCTGGCCCTCCTTCCGAGTGTGACCGCACCAGGTGGAGGCCGCTCAGCACAGGCGCCTGGCGGCCGGAACCTCCCGGCGCGATCTAACCGCCGTGTCCATAAACCTGGCTCCAGCCCGCGCTGCTGAGAAGGCCAGCTTGTTCCCCGCTGAGAACATTCTGGAACATTCTGCAGAAAGAGCTCAGTGATTGCTCCGCCGTCGCTGTGTGGGATGCCTGGAATGGGGCAGGCAGGAGGGGGCCGCTGGAAGGAATGGCTCAGTCTTGTAAATGTCACATCAAGGACTGAGGTCAGACATGGGCTCAGAACCTCCTGGCTCGCTGTGGCTTAGGCTGAGGCCTTTATTTTTACGTGTTTTTTTTCTTTTCAGAATGTGGTTTTTTATTTTTATTTTATTTTTTATTTTAAAATATATTTTACTGATTTTTTTTTACAGAGAGGGAGAGAGAGGGATAGAGAGCTAGAAACATCGATGAGAGAGAATCATCGATCAGCTGCCTCTTGCACCTCCCCTCCTGGGGATGTGCCCGCAAAGATACATGCCTTTGACCAGAATCGAACCCGGGACCTTTCAGTCCACAGACCAATGCTCTATCCACTGAGCCAAACCAGTTTTGGCAGAAGGTGGTTGTTTAAAAAAAAAAAAAAATTATTTCAGAAAGGGGGAGAGAGAAACATCAATGATGAGAGAGAGGATCATGGATCGGCTGCCTCCTGCAGGCTCCGCACTGGAGATGGAGCCCGCAGCCTGGGCAGGTGCCTTGACCGGAAATCAAGCCGTGACCTCCTGGTTTGTAGGTTGGTGCTTACCACTGAGCCACACCGGCTGGGCTGCATCCTTTTTTAAAAAGTCATCTTGTTAATTTGCTTTGCATGCTCCCTTTGGATGGAGTCGGGAAGGCCAGTCTCTGGGCAGACTCTGTGAATACGGAAGGTCCGGGGGCAGGCCTTGCACCGCGGCGGCTTGCTCAGCGACCCCCAGCTCAGCGCCTTATCTTCTCCCTCCAGATCGTCCTCTGGGGCCGCACCGAGAAGTGCCTGAAGGAGACCACGGAGGAGATCCGGCAGATGGGCACCGAGTGCCACTACTTCATCTGTGACGTGGGCAACCGGGAGGAGGTGTACCAGACGGCCAAGGCCGTTCGGGAGAAGGTGAGCTGCCTGCGGGGTGGGCGGGAGTGGGAGGGGGGGCTGCTTCCAGAGCCTCTGGGGACTCTCCGTGAAGCTGGCCTGAGGCTGCATGCACATGTGTGTACATGCATGTATGTGCATGTGTGTGCTACAGGGGCAGGGACAAGGGAGGGGTATGGGTTGGTGAATGACAGGAGTAATCCTCTCTTGTCCCCTTTGGAATTTAGACCAAATGCCCTGTTGCCCTCTGGGGAAAGGCTTCTCCTGACTCCAGCCGTCTATGTCGGCGGCTGTGAGTGGGTCAGGGAGCTCCCAGAGAGCAGGGACCACCTGGTAAGCATCTGGCACACGGTGAATGCTCATATTTACGTAACAACTAGAGGCCCAATGCATGAAAATTCGTGCAGGAGTAGGCCTTCCTTCCACGGCTGCTGACACCGGCTTCCCTCTGGCACCCGGGACCCGGGTTTCCATCCTCCAGCCGCCAGTAGGCACCTGGGGCCCAGCTAGCTTCCCTCCGGCCCTGGCATTGTCTGGAAGGACATCCGGAATGATGCCCGGTCTAATTAGCATATCACCCTTTTATTATTATAGATAACCTCATTTGTGGTGAATGCACTCTGTGCCAGGTATAGGATGCGCCATAAATTATTTCTAACCCTCAGAACATCTCTGGTATGGCCATGAGCTCCATCTTATTCATCAAGGCCGGTGCTCAGCATGGCGACGTGGCTGCCCAGGTCCCAGGGCCGGGGGGAGGGTGCCGGGCACCGGGGCTGCCCTGACAGAGCTGCGGCCCCTCCCGCCTGCAGGTGGGTGACATCACCATCCTAGTGAACAACGCCGCCGTGGTCCACGGGAAGAGCCTGATGGACAGCGATGACGACGCCCTCCTCAAGTCGCAGCACATCAACACCCTGGGCCAGTTCTGGGTGCGGCTCCCGTGCACAGACCCGGCCTGGGCGAGGCAGGGACCAGGGCCTTCCCTCCAGGGGACTGGGGGCCGTAGGGCAGGAGGGGAGACTCACCAGGGCTTGGGCTCAGGCCCAGGGGGATGGATACCCAAGGACAAGGTGCTGGACAGGAGGAACGAGGGCCCGGGAGGCGTCTCCCGGCTCTGTGGCTGCAGGGCAGGGTGGTCTGTTCTCCCTGAGAGAGGGGGGGGAGGGGCTTTGGGAGGTCCATCTGCTCCACACTGACCCCCCTGCCCCTCCTCAGACCACCAAGGCCTTCCTGCCACGCATGCTGGAGCTGCAGAACGGCCACATCGTGTGCCTCAACTCGGTGCTGGCGCTGTCCGCCATCCCCGGCGCCATCGACTACTGCACGTCCAAGGCCTCGGCCTTCGCCTTCATGGAGAGTCTCACGCTGGGGCTGCTGGACTGCCCGGGCGTCAGCGCCACCACCGTGCTGCCCTTCCACACCAGCACCGAGATGTTCCAGGGCATGAGGGTCAGGTCAGTGTGCAGAGGACTCTCCCACTCCCCCCCCCAATCCCCCCCTCCCCCCTCGGCCAGGTCCCCTGCAGGTTGGACCCGTCAGGAGGCTTATGCACAGAGAGAGCACAAATCTAAAAAGCACCAGAGCCTATTCCCTTTGGCTTGGAGCTCTGGCACCCCACTCTGTGAGACGGGGGGGGGGGGGGGGGGGGGGGGGGGGGGGGGGGCTGTGGGGGTACAGGGTCCTGCTTTTCAGGCTGGGAGCTCTTTCAAGTCCCGCTGCGTGCAGTGGAGTATCCCCCACCGTGAGAGGGCCGCGCGGACTCTGAGGCCGCGGGGGGAGGGAGAAGCATCACGCTGAGCAAAAGAAGTCAGAGGCGGAGAGCGCGCTCCCTGTGGTTCCATCTGCACGGTGATCAGGAGCAGGCAGAACTGGGCTGTCAGCGATGGAAGTCAGAACTGGGGCGCCCCGAAGTGGGGAGAGCCTGCCGGGGAGCACGAGAGAACCTTCTAGCCCCATGGTTGGCAAACCGCGGCTCTCGAGAGCCACATGCGGCTCTTTGGTCCCTTGAGCGTGGCTCTTCCATAAAATACCCCGGCCTGGGCGAGTCTGTGTTGAAGAAGTGGCAGTGGAAGAAGTTTAAGTTTAAAAATGTGGGCTCTCCAAAGGAATGTCAATCGTCGTCCTGTTGGTATTGGGCTCTGCTGACTGAGGAGTTTGCCGACACCGGTCTAGACGTTTAGGAAGCTCTTTCTTCTCGATCTGGGCAGCGGTTGCAGAGGTAAACGGTAACCCCACTGCACACTTAGGTTGGGTGCCTCTCCTCCTTGCCCATCAGAGGCGTCCGCTGGCCTGGGTGCCCCGGGGGAGTCGCTCGCCCCCGCTTTGCGATGGTAACTGAGTTTGGTTTTGGGGGATCAGGAATCAAAGCGCCGGGTTCTGAATCACGCCTCGGCTGCTGGGCGGCTGTGACATCCTGAGCCAGGTCTGTCACCTCTCTGAGCCTGTGCTTCACTCTGCTTTGTCGGTGAAACCGTGGGAACGTATTTCCTCCGAAGGATTATTAGGAGAATTAAAAGGCGCTCCGGGCTCAGGGAGGAACCACAGCTCTTTCTTGTTTTTAATCCTCACCCGGGGGTATTTTCCCCTTTGCTTTATAGAGAGAGAGCAGAAGGGAGAGGTTGGGGGAGGAGAGGAAGTTAATGTGAGAGGGAGTCATCGATTGGTTGCCGCCCTCAGGTGCCCCATTGTGGGGCTGGGGATCAAATCTGCAACTGAGCCGAAACCGGTTTGGCTCAGTGGATAGAGCTTTGGCCTGCGGACTGAAAGGTCCCAGGTTGGATTCTGGTCAAGGGCATGTACCTGGGTTAGGGGCACATCCCCAGGAGGGGGTGTGCAGGAGGCAGCTGGTGGATGTTTCTCTCTCATCGATGTTTCTAGCTTTCTATCCCTCTCCCTTCCTCTCTGTAGGAAGTCAATAAAAAGTATTTTTTTTTTTTTTTAAATCTGCAACTGAGGTACATTCCCTTGACCGGGAGTGGAACTCATGACCCTTTGATGCGTGAGGTGGTGCTCTAACCACTGAGCCCACATGCCTGCGCACCACTAACAATAAGCATCTTCCTAAGGCATCTGCTATGCATCTTCCTGGCAGGTCCTATCTCCAGTGTGTCACAGGAGTGTGCATAGCCGCCTGACTTGCACGCAAATGATCATAGACTCTGAACGGGGAGGAGGCGCCGAGTGTGGGTCCCAACTGCCTGGGACCAGACCCCAGCTCCGTGCTGCCTTGGGCAAGCCCCTCGCCGTCTGTGCCTGGCCTCCTGTCTACAAGCAGGGGTGGATGAGTGCACCCACTTCCTGGGTCCCAGGCTTCTGGGTGTGGACACCAGCCTGCCTGCCTGCCTGCCTGCCTGCCTGGCAGGGGTGAGCTCTGGCTGCAGGCCAGCTCCCTGGCAGGCAGGGAAGGCCCGAGGCCTGGGAGAAGAGCAGGAGAGGGGAACTGGTCAGCACCAAGCTCCCAGTTCCTGAAGAAAGAAAAACGGGGGAAAGCATTGGCGCCCTCCCCAGCCAGGCTTAGCAGCTCCCAGGCTAGAGGGTGGGAGGCGGGTGTGAGGACACAATCAATGGGTTTCCCAGCAGCAGTGCCCTATGGGGGCCAGGGAGGGGGGATTGAGGGGAGATGCTTGCTATTTTTTTTTTTTTTTATAATTTCATTGATTTTTTTTTTTTTTTTTACAGAGAGGAAGGGAGAGAACTAGAGTGTTAGAAACATCGATGAGAGAGAAACATGGATCAGCTGCCTCCTGCACACGCCCCACTGGGGATGTGCCTGCAACCAATGTACATGCCCTTGCCCGGAATCGAACCTGGGACCCTTCAGTCCGCAGGCCGACACTCTATCCACTGAGCCAAACCAGCCAGGGCGCTTGCTATTTGTTAATTGCCATTGATTGATCTTCTGTGTTCCAGCCACAGCAGACACTTTAGAAACATTGCCCCCAATTAGCCCTCATCTCCCTGCCCCCCACCAGCCATCTCTCTCCCCATTTCACAGACGAGAGAACTGAGGCTCAGAGAAGCAAGCTCACTCTGCCCAAGGCCACACAGATAGAAATCGGCTGAGCAAGCTTTTTGCAGAGTGGGTGCTGCCTCCGTGAGCGTGGAAAGCCCTGCTGGTTCTCTATACCCCTCCCACCCCCACGGGGAGAAAGGAGCCGGTGCCTCCCACAGAGGTGAACTGAGGGGCCCTCCGGTCTGCCTGCAGGGGCCTTGCCTGGGAGGGCCCCCCGTCCCTGGACCACGGGGCTGAGTCTCTCCCCTGTCTGCCCTCCCCACTGGAGCAGGACTGGCCCAGGTAGGAATGGAAAGCCCGACTGTCTGGGGCTCTACCACCAGCAAGCTGCCTCCACCCCGTCACCCCTGCAGGCCCCGGAGGCTGCTGTTGCCGATGGCAGCGTGTGGGATCTTAGTGGGACACTGAGGAAGCCCAGGGCAGCAGGGAGGGAGGTGCGGAGGTGAGATCCCTGGACTCTAAGAGGCCAGCCAGTCGGAGTGGGGGGCCCAGGAGTCGCCCTTGGCTCAGGGTGACATCAGACCCAGGTGACTCATCCGCCTTAATCCTCCTGGTGCCAGAGCAACTCCCCAGCCCTTTGTGGGATTGAGGTCAGAGCCGGAGGCATGGGCGCTGTGCCTCGGGGCAGGGAGTGAGGACGGGGGCGGGGCCTCACCCCCCCACCCACTCCCCAGAGCCTCAGTTTCCCTTTCTGTGAATTGGGGGGAGTGGTTCCCGGCGAGCGTTAGTCCAGGCCTGGCACTCGGGGGCGTCATCAGTCTAGGGGTCGCAGGCCGGAAGCCTGTGCCTGGGCATGAGAAGCCCTGATGTTTGCTTATTCAGTCGTGTGTTCCCCCCGTCTGTGAAGGTTTCAGTGTGTCCGTGTGTGAGCGACCCAGCAGGCCGGCAGAGGCCGTTCTCCCCCGGGTCCCTGCCTCCGGGCAGGGCCAGCAGGACACCTCTGGGGAGGAGCAAGTCGCTTATCCATCCAACCACTCAGCACGCGTTTACTGAGCACCTGCTATGTGCGGACACAGCACACGGGGGATACAACAGGGAGCGAGACCCAGCAGACCTCTGCCCTCGGGGAGCGCACAGGCTGGTGGGGAGACAGGCCGTTAATAAGGAAACAAGCCAGCAGCCAGGCCACTGCAGGCATGGGGAATGCGGGGCGGGGGGGCGGGTGTTGGTGCCGAGATCAGAGGCCACTCCGAGTGGACCAGCCCAGACGCCTCCCTGATGGCACAGCTGGTGAAGACCCTGAGACAGGAAAGAACTTCGGTGACAGGAACCAAAGACTGGCCGGGAGCCGGAGCAGAGTGGGGAGGGGGGGCCGGGCGGCAGGCAGCAGCCCACCAGGAGTGAGCAGGGCTCTAGAGAACACGGGGAGCCCAGGAGAGTGGGGGGTGCCCTGGGGGCTGGGCTGCAAGTCCTTGATTCTCAAAAGGAGACTCAGTGGCAGAGGGAGGGAGTCAGGATCTGAGACAGGGGAGAGGGGGGAGAGAGTCCCAGCAGTTCTTCTCAAGGAGATGCCGAAGGGATGATCCAGACCTGTCCGCCGCAGGCACTGTGCACAGCAGCTCCTGCTTCCCTGGGCAAACCCACTGTGTCTCTCTGCAATCAGGTTCCCCAACCTCTTCCCGCCCCTGAAGCCGGAGACGGTGGCCCGGAGGACGGTGGAGGCCGTGCAGCTCAACCAGGCGCTCCTGCTGCTCCCGTGGACGATGCACGCCCTCATCATCTTGAAAAGGTACGAGGCCGGGGAGCGGCACGGGGCCAGGCTCCTGCCAACCTCCCATGGCCCCGTGGGGAAGAGGCCTCAGGCAGGAGAAATAACACGGGATCGACTAGTCATGTCTGCTGTGGGCGTGGAGACGAGCAGTGAGGGCTTGTGTGCCAAGGATGTCCTGTCCTGAATTTGGGGCCACGGTTCTCACACTTGCTGGTCGAAGGACCCCTTTACAACCTTAAAAAGTGTTTTTAAATATATTTTTATTGATTTCAGAGAGGAAGAGAAAGATAGAAACATCAGCGATGAGAGGGAATTAATGATTGGCTGCCTCCTGCCTGTTGGACCGAGCCCGAAACCCAGGCATGTGCCCTTGACGGGAATCAACCTGGGACCTTTCGGTCTGTAGACCGATGCTCGATCCACTGAGCCAAACCAGCCAGGGCTACCACTTTAAAAGTGATTGAGGCGCCCAAAGAGCTTCAGCTTATGTGAGCTGTATTATTACTGCTTACTGTCTTAGAAATGAAAACTGGGAAAACACTTTTACAAGATTTATACACAAATAAGTGTATAAATCTTGTAAATATTCACAATGTTCATTCATTCGATTCTGTGGTAACATAATGATTTCTTATGAAAAGTAAATACATTTTCAAAAGAAAAAGAAAAGAATGTAGTGAGGAGAATGGCATTGTTTTCCTTGCTTCCAAAGCTCTTTATTGTCTAACGTAATTGAAGACAACCAGATTCTTCTCTCTGCCTCTGATTTTCATCTGTTGTGAGAGGGTGCGTGAAAAGGCAGATAACACCTTAGTCTGGTTATAAAAGTAGCTTGCCCTCGCAGACCACCAGAGAGGTCTCCGGTACCCTCAAGGGTTCCTAGGCCACACTTTGAGAACCACTATTCTAGCGCCTACTCATTGGGCGCAGCCTTCAGGAAGTTTAGTCTCATGGGGAAGGCAGAGCTTCGGGTGCTGCAGGGTCCACAGGGGTGTCACAGAGCTGGTCAGGTGGGTTTCCCAGGGCAGACCACCTGGGAGGGGGGCTGATGGGAGAAGATGGTCCACCTCCAGGATATGCTCAGAACCTTCCAGACCTTGGGCAGCAAACCCTTCCCACGGAGCCCCAACCTGCAGGGGCCATTCCATGCCACCCACGAAGGTTTCATGACAACAGACTCCTGGCTCCTCTGGGCCCCACACCACCTCCAGCCCCCAAGCCTGGCTGGCTGCACCCTCTGCCCAGAGGCTCTTACGGGAAGTGAGGCACTCAGGTCCCTGGATCGGACACCACCTCGCCTCCCTCTGGCTCTGTGCCCCACGGCTCCAACTGTGGGCACAGAGACCTCACAGCGCAGGGGGCTGCCATCAGCCCCTTCTCCTCACACTCAAAGCCCTTTCAGAGCCAGGAGCAAGGTCGAGGCTGGGGCCACCTGAGGGCATTGGGGCCATACCACAGCCGGGCTGCCTGTTGCTCCGAGATGCTCCTTGGCTGCCTCCTTCCACCTCAGGAGCTTGTTAGCAGCCTCTCAGACATTCTAGAAAAAGGCTAGACCGCCTCAGTGCTCTCACAGTAAGCCTCCAGCCTACACTTTCAGTTCTGTCCCCTGCTACCCTCCCACAGGAAGCAGAGACCCACCCCTCCTCCCCATGCCCCGCACAACTTCACGTCTTCCCCTTCCCCAAGAGAAATCTCTACAGGCTTCACGCCATCGACACCGCCTCCAGGAAGCCTTCCAGATTGCTCCCGCTGGAAGGGGGCCTTTCCCATGTTACACCAAGTGGGCGAGGGCCCTTCGATTTGATTCAACCAATGGACTGAGGCCTCCTCATGCCGGGGTCTGTGCTAGGGGCCAGATGCAGAGGTGAACTCCCTGGGTCACACTGCTTCCCCCACACCAGGGCTTGTGGGGGAGCAGTGCACCATGGGAGCCCAGGGAGAGCCTGGGCGTGCGTGTGGGGGGTGTCCCTGGAGGAGGGGACCCCTAGTCTAGAAGGCCTCAGCCCCACCTAGTAAATATTTGTAGGATAAGTGGCACTTGGAGATACCTAGGGGCCCTAAAATGCAAAGAATGTGCCTTTGAAAGGTTATTTCCCACCCTTTGCTTTGTAAGCAGTGGTTTATCCTCAAAGCCCTTCCTCCACGGTGGTGGGTGGGCGGGGAGTGGCTTGTGGGCTTGAGAGAGGGGGTGGGGAGAGTGTAGGGGCATCCTTCTTCTGTGCCATCCTGTGTGGCCACACGTGGCCCAGCTGCTGGCCCCCACCCGCTGACCATCCTGTTTTCTCTCCCCTCGCTCCCCGCAGCATACTCCCACAGGCTGCGCTGGAGGAGATCCACAGATTCTCAGGAACCTACACCTGCATGAACACTTTCAAAGGGCGGACATAGAGGCGGGACGGAGACACGCCCAACAGCCGCGGAGCCCTCTGGGGCCATGGCACCTGGACACGCACCCTCACGCTCGGCACACGTCTGCGGGGCGGGCAGGCCTGTCCTCTCCCCGGGGAGAACCCGGTGCCCCGCCGCCGGCCCCAGGACCTTTGCACAGGACTGATGGGCATCGCTCCGGCCCCCAGGGGGAGGCGAGACACCAGCCAGCAGCCACCGTGGCACTTTTGTACATTTCCGATTCTGTAGAGTTTATGGTTAAGTCGCTTCTCAGAGCTAACCAGCCGCAGAGGGTGCAAAGACTTACCTCCGGGAGGGTCTGTGCTCAGGGGATCCTCCTCCCCCTCCAAAACACACTCGCCCTCAGCTTCTGCAAACCGGTGTGGACGGCAGGAAAGAAAAATAAAGAGAGATGGCTTTTGCAAGTTGCTTGGTTGAAATCCTTGGCCCTGGTCCTCGGCGGCAGTGGGGAAGGGACAGCCCCAACCACAGCCCCCCATCCTTGGAGAGAGAGCTGGTCTGTGTGGGGTCCCCCCCAGCGGACAGGAGTGAAATGAGCGAGAAGAGGCCAGAGATCGGGAGGGAATTGGAGCCTGGGCTGGGCATACGGGGTCCTTGCTGACTCTGCCAGGCCCCTCCCGACGCCAGGGGTTAGGGAGCACTTTGCTCCCCCACCCCCTTCCCTGAATAGCCGTGAACTGGGCTGCCACGGCCCTGTCCGCCACAAAGCCACCAACTCGGGAGAGCACATCGGTCCCCATTGAGCATTGGTGTCTACTGGGCACGTGCTGGGTGCCAAGCGGGGACTACTACCGAGAAGCCAACACCCCGAGGACACCAGCACCACCAGGCCTGCGCCACGTGGGCTGCAGGGGGTGGAAGTGAACTGGCTCAGGAGGAGGGGGTCTGTGCCGCAGGGGAGATGGGCACGGGCCGGGCATCGGGACAATGCCAGCCAGGAGGAGTGGGCAGAGGTGCCCCAGGTTCCCGGGTGTGCGCTCTCCGCTCCTGCAGCAGCTTCACAGGGACAGGGGGCCCTGGTGTCTGATCTAAGTAGCCTCTGTCCACCCAGCTCCTACGGTAAGGTGACCAGACATCTCGCTTTTTAACAATTTGTCCTGCGTCCCTTTAAAAAAAGTCCCGCTTTTTGGAAAGATTGTCCTGATTTTTAACAATTTGTTAGATTTGTTACTTTAACAATTCGGAAAGATTCTTTCCAAAAATCGGGACTTTTTGAAAACGCCACGGGACGCGGGACAAATTGTTAAAAATGGAAACTGTCCCGCCGAAAGCGGGACGTCTGGTCACCTTACCAGGGTTCGGGGCCGGGGAGTGGAGGGGCAGGCGGTGAGGAGAAGGCCCCCCGCCACAAATCCAATGGAGGGACTTCTGCGGGGGTTGCTTAAAGCCTGCCATGCGCACTCACAGCCAAGGAGGGCCTGGGTGCAGAAACGCCACGTCCTGATGACGCCCACCGTGTACCGAGCACTTGCCTGCTGAGTCCTGAGGCCCAGCACCTCCCTGCTGGTTACCCACGGCCCCCACAGCAGCCGAAGACCGGAGACAGCTCTCCAGGGCCCCTCCGGATGCCAGCAGCCACGCTGTGTTAGCAGCCAGCACGTGACCCCCAGGCCTCAGGCCGCCTGCCCGTGGAGGGAGGCTGCTGCTCTGTGCTGCATCGTCTTCCTTCGGGGACCCTGGCCGACCGAGGAGCCTGCATGGACAACTCCTCTGTGACAGAGGGAGCTCACCCGGCCGCCTGCTGGCTCTGACACTCTGCCTGGAAGCAATGCAGGGCACTTCTGCTCACACTTCATTGGCCAGAGCCGGTCATGTGATGAAGCCTCCCCACGGAGGCAGCTGGGTATACCATCTCCATGGAGGGGTGGCAGGACTTCTAAATACAACACCCTCTGCCACACAGCGGGAGATGACTCCCATGAGAACGGGAAAAACCCGGAAAAACCAGCTGTAGGCAGAGGCTGCGGGAGACAGAGGCTGCGGGGGCCAGAGGGGCATAGAGGCTGTGGGGGGGCAGAGGCTGCAGGGGGGCAGGGAGGGGCAGAGGTTGCGAGGTGGGCAGAAGCTGCGGGAGGCAGATGACACTGAGCTGGGCGACATGCTGACCTCTCGGTGGCCCGCCAGATGCTGGGCAGAGGCCCAAAGAGGCATTGACCATTTTGCAGGTGAGGAAATAGGCTCAAAGCAGAGCAGCTGCGTGCCCAGGTGTGTGCGGCTGGCGAGTACCCACGTCAGAATGGGAACCGCACCCGACCCAGCCCACCAGCCGCCTCTCCCACTGTGCCCCCCTCCCTGTGGTCCTTGCGGCTGTGTGTGGCCAGAGGGTGGGGCAGGGAGAATGCTGCTGAAGGGGCCGGCCTGGCACCCTTACCGGCCTGGAGAGGTTGAGCCTGGAGTGTCCATGCATCACCCATCTTTGGTGTCTGGACATTAGAAGGTTGCCCTGGGCTCGGCTGCCCGCTGCTGCCCCCCACCCCACAGCCCGGGGCCTGTGGCTGGTCCTCACAGGGAGCCAGGCTGGGCTGGGCAGGCCCGTCTGGGTGCGCTGGGAGGGAAGAGCAGGAAGACGTGGGGGTCCTGCCGGCTGCGCCCTGACTTTTCTGACTGTTCTGGAGTGGCAGGCGGGCTCTGTGCTCCCAGCCTGGCTCGGGGCCAGCCTTCGGGGAGGATCTGCCTCTTGGGGTTCCATGAAGCTGCACTTGGCCTTCAGGCCGGGAATGTGAGGACAAGGGAGTCAGAGGACGCCAGCCCCGCCAGCCCCCCTCAGGGCCCAGCGAGAGCGGAGCCGGGGTCGTGGCCGCAGTGGGACCTCACTGCGTCCCAGGGCCCCGGGGGCTTTTCCTGCCTGCCGGGCCGGCCTGGTCCCCTCCTCCCTTCTCCCTCGCTGCTTGGACACTTTCAGTCTTTTTCTGGATCTTTTCCCGGAGGAACCAGGGAAAAAGCCTTGGGCAGGCTCCCAGGAGGCCCATCCTGGGCCCTCCCCAATGGCCTGGCAGCGCGGGCCGTGGGGAGTGCGAGCGGAGAGCTAATTCTGTCCTCGGGCCCAGCCAAGCGCCGGAGAGTGACAAGCACCTCGCCTCCCGAACCCCAGGGGCAGGACGGGGTGTGCCAGCCCTGGGAAGACGGCTCAGGCCTGGGAAATGACCCAGTTGCCATGCCCGGGGCCCCTCCCCATCGCCGAAGAGAAGCAGATGGGAGGTGGGCCCCGAGCCTGGAGGCGCCAGCCCCAAGCCCCGTCCTGATGTGGGTCCTGGCGGCCGGACTGCCCGGCCTAAACGGCTCCGGATGGAGTCCCGTGGCCCCTGGGCCGCCCGGGGCCAGATGCTCTGAGAAGTGGGCTCCCTTCTCCTCAGACCAGAATGCTGCCAGGCCACCACAGTGCCCTGCCCCCAGCCCTTCCGACGGGAGCTCGTCTGCACCCCTGGGGACATCCCAGTCCATTGGGGACAAAAGGAGGAAGCCAGCCCGCAGCCCCAGTGCTGAGCAGCGGGAGGGTGGGCTCCCTCGCCCACCACAGCACCCCCAGGCCTTCTCCGGCCTGGGCTCAGCGCTGGTGTTCAGGGCGAGATCAGGAGACTGTACACACACACACACACACACACACACACACACACACACACACACGCCTCTCGCTCCAGGCAGAGCCAGGAGGGGACCCGCCCATGCACCCACCTGCAATTGTCCTGACCAGAGTGGAGAAGCTGAGGGGCAGCCCCCGAGGAGGGCAGAGGAGAGGCCCGGAGGGGTGGAGGAGGGGACGCTGGCCTCCCGCACTGGGCAGGCTCCGGCATTGCTCTGGCACCTGAGCCGCTGCTGGCTCCGGGCGGGCCCTTTCTGCCCAAGTCCCGCTGTGGTTCGGGGTGAAAATAAACCCAGGAGGCCCCTGAGCAGCCACTGCCCTGCTGGGCAGCTGCTCTGCTCCAGGGCCTCTCAGGTGCATGGCCAGACTCAGAGGCAAGGTCCTCAGAGAGCCCCCAACCACCAGGCAGGGAGGGCCCAGCAGGGCCTCATGCACAGCTGTGCAACTGGGGTCATGACCTCTCTGGGTTGAAGCAGCTGTGGGAATATTTCTGCAGGGCCCTGAGGCCTGGATGCCTCGGACAGTGCTCACGTGGCTGGGAGCCGACACCTCCACCCGCGCTGGCCAAGAGTCCGCCTGAGGCAGAGGCTCAGCCTGTCCATCCCCACCTGCAGGTGTCTCACCAGAGGCCCAAGCTCAGCCTGTCCATCCCCGGCTGCAGGCATCCACCTGAGGCCGAAGCCCTGCCTTCCACCTCGCTGGGCTCACCTTTGCCCCTGGGATCAGGTTCGCACAGAACAGAGTCTTTGCGACGTCACTCACACGGAGCTCAGATCGCCTGTTCAGAGGGTTCAGGGCAACCTGCTCCATCTATTCCGGGCTGAACGCTCTCCCCGCACACTCCTCTGGGGGCGCACGTGCAGAGCAGGCCTTCTGCGTCTGGCTCCATCGAGAGGCATGTCGTCAGGGTCCCTCTTGCAGGGCCGGAGCCCCTTCCTGTTCCTGTTCACACCGGACGGCCTTCTTCCTGAGGGACAGCTGGGCCGTTGGCACTGCCAGTGCTCTGGTCCTGCCTCCCTCTTCCCACAGGACACACTCGGGTCCGCGGTGCTCGCACCCAGGATGGCACAGGGCACAGCGGCAGATGGTCAGTGTTTGCTGTCGGAGTGCAGAGGGACAGGACCTTTGGCGGCTGTGTCCTGGGCAGCTGACACGGGTGTGCGGCCTCCTCCCCTCCACCTTCCCGTGCGCCCACACAAGGGCCCCGCGTAGAAGCCGGCGTGTGGGATTGCATGTTTCCCACGGCGGCACTTGGACATTTGGGTTCGTGTGACTGTGGGGGCCGCCTGTGCCCTGAGGGTGTTTGGTGGCTTCCCCCGACATCCATGCTCATGGATGCCTTTCCCTCCTGGCTGTGACCACAAAAATGGTTCCAGAAATGTCCCCCACAGAGCTAATG